ATTAAAATAAATTTGTTCATTTCTGTATCTATCTTTAAATTTCAGTGTAGAATCAAAGCAATGATTATCAGTTTCTTAGATAAATGTGTTTCTGAAGAACAATAGCTGTATATGCAGCCATAAAAATATCATTTGCTACTGTTCTCTGTGATTTGTTTAGGATAAAACAGGTTGGAACCATCCCCTGGAAGCAATAAGACACCAGCACAAAAGCACTTTCCCACTCTGCTCTCTTCGTTCTTGGAGAGTGTAAAAATCTTTGAGCTGCCTCTATCTCAGCTGTTACACTGGTAGAGGTGAGCAAGCTGAATGACAATTATTTCTACTATGTAGCTGACAGCTCAGCACCTCTGCACAGCAGCTGAGCTCAGCCAGAATCCGCACTCTAAATACTGATTGCTCATCTGCTAGCAGGCAGGTTTCCTCAGAGCCTTTTACCTTGCCTGGGAGTTTGTCTCCCATGTGCTGCTGCTGGAGGTTGGGTGTGTTGGCACAAACATGGGCTGAAGGTGAGCCCTCTACTAGGAAGGGCTGTGTGCTCCGAAGACAGTGTGGGCATCAACAGAGAGTACTTACGGGTGATGTGTTGGGGTACACGGACGTGAGAAATGCTTAGGACTATGGAAAAGGAGGATCTGTATAGGATGGGGACTTCTTCACACACTGGAATGAGTTGTGATTCAAAACCAAGAGCATTGAGCTCGCCTTCCTACTCCTCTTTGTAAACTTTGTAAAGTCTGCCAGTCATACAGGATGATCACGATTTTCTTGCAACTCCAAAGTTCAAAATGAGCCTCAGAGGTTGAGAACTCCAGGTTGGTGTAATTTACCCTCTTATTACTTATAGTCTCTGTCTGTGCTGTGCTGAATATCTTCTCATATCATCCAGGAGTTTAAAAGTTCCTAATGTCTACTGAGGCCACAGAAGGCATTTTTCATCTGTTTAAAATTTTAGTCTTGTAGGTCAATTATCAAGAAACTTCTAGTCTTGGTCATGAGTCTACTGTTATGATGCAGGCCATGGACAACCTCTGTGAAAGGAGACATCTGGATTTCTTGTGGTTCTATTTGTCTTGACCTTAGCTAGAACTTGCAAGCCATATATCATACTTAGTTTGGTCAGCAAAAACGTACTGTCAACCTCTGGGAGGCTCTGCTTGTCCCCCAGGGTAGAGGCCATGCACGTGGCAGATGTTTCCAGGGCTTTCTGCAAGCTTTGCAAATTGCTGTTAAGGAAAACCAGTGCCACTGCACTGCCACCAACACTTGGCTTGTGGAACCCACTGGATGTGGCAGGATTTGTGTGGGATAATACGGGGTATTGTGTGTAATGTGTTGCATTTTCTGCTATCAGGAAATTTGTTTTCAGCTGCAGAAAAAAAGCATTGATTTAGGTGGTTTGCTTGTAAGAGGGAGGGGATGAGCCAGAGCCAGATGAAACCCGGTGCAAAAGGTTTTCTTTGGATGACGGTCGTGTGTTTGAGTGCTTTTTCATATCTGGATGTGTAGGGAATGTCTTCAGTGAGTCATTGAATTACTCATTACGAGCTGCATTGTTTCCAGATCCTTACGAAGGGTTTATGAGCCCAGGGAATGGCCTTTTCCCTTGCAGCATGCTTCCTGTTGATCCCACAGAGCATGCATGGCCAGTTTCTCCCAGATTTCAGCAGAAGTTTATCTGAAGCCAAAGTAATCTGCTGAAGTTGAGGGGGGTTTGCCAAGGGTACAGGGCTGCAGCATGGAAACTCAGCACAGCTGGTGGGATCTGGAGGCTGGCTCCAGAGCAGTGACAAGTCCCATCCAAGGGGCGCTGGTGCTGGGAGGTGCAGGTGAGGAGCCCCACACGGTCAGGCTGCTGGAGGTGGCCGTAGAGCTCAGCCAAACAGTTGGAAGCTTCAGTTTGCACCCTCGCCTCCTTCCCCAGGCAGAAAGCTTTGTCCCTGCTGCTCCCTGGGATTTTTAAAGATTCAGGCCATCTGTGACTTGAGTCTGAACCGCCTCTGCAGAGGTTACAAGGCTCGGAGTGGTGAAGCCATGCTGCGGAGGTATTCCTCCACCCTTCTCTCCCCAGCAGCAAGCTGACTTTGTCTCACTAACATTGGTATTTAAAAGACTTTCAGATATGTGTGTGGTCCCTGTAAAAAAAAATCTCCAAAGGAAACAAATGTTATGTGGTGAAAGTCTGCCAAGTCCCCCTTGCTTATTAGCTCACAGTATCATGTAGGAGGGACTTAACTCTATAGGTTAGTACAGGATAGCTCTTCAACGAACTGTCAGTTCCTCTGAAAATTCAGGCTTAAAGCCTGTTGCTCTATAGGGTCGAGAGTGAGCCACTGGCCTTACAGGCCTTAGTCTTTGACTGCTCTGAGACATTTAGCAGAGCCCTGAAATGGTCACGTGTGATTTCAGGGGTCTTTGGCATATAAGAGCTCATCAAACAAGGCTTTGAAAGGAGTGATCAAGGATGACATTTTGAAAGCAGTCCAAAAGCACAGAGGTTAAAATAAGAAAAGTAATTAAACATGTGCATCTAAATAGACTGACTGGAGTACGATGATCCAAGACTTCCTTCAAAAGCAATGATTGTTTGATTTAATTTTTTCCAGAATTCTCATCTGTGGTGCAGCCAGACTTCAGCTGCTTATCACCCGAACTTACGTCCTGATGGGTAAAACGTGCTGTGCAACAGGGGGGTGGTGTTGACATAGAAAGCACTTAAGACTGACTTGTGATGATAGAAACTGGATTTTCTACTTATATGTAGAGAAGTTAGCAGAGAAATAGTCACAAAATCCCTTTTACCTGCAGTCTGCTCCTCTCCAAAGTACCGCAGTTGCCCAGCAATGTCAACAAACATGTCTTCTTCCAGATTTAGTTACACAGGCAGAAGTTTAAATGTTAGCTTCCTGGAGGAAAGATGATTCACCTGATTTAAAGCAGATATTTTAATCTGAAAAGCTAAATTTATCTTTTCCTTTTATCCAGATGAAGTTATTGATGGGAAGATACTTTCCAATTCTCAGTATCTCATGCTGCCTAATATGGTTCAGATTAGTGTCTCAGAGGATACTCTTTTCTGAAGTAAGTTTTGACCAGCATTAACTCCTTGGGGGTCTCTGAAGAATCTCATCTGCCTGACCAATAAAACCAGTCAAAGTAGGCCCTTATACTCACCAAGAAAGGGTTATTTCTATGCCATGTTGTGTAGCCCAGGAGCAAATGCCAGGTTTCTTGCCAGAGTAGTTCTGCTTAAATCTGAATGCTTTTAAAAACAAGTGCCCACGCTCCAAAAAGTTTCTGGCAGTGTCCTAAGCAAGCATGTCCATATACACACACTTCATCTTCTTACCAGTGGGCATGGGCTCAGATGTGGAAAGAAGTCAAAAGCCACCTGTTAGGGCTGTTTGAGACCACGTGCTGTCCTCAGCATGCCCCAAACAAGTCAAACCTGGGAGAAAAGTTGTACAATTCCACTGACTTCATGAATTTTTGTCATCCTGCCACATTGCCCCTGACTAGTATCCAGATGCCTCATCCCGATCCCAAAGTTTACCTCTTCTGTATCAAAGTTATGTGCACCTCTGAAGACTAAGTTTGTTTTTCTCCGTTCTTGCTCTTACTGCACTCAGCACATGCATAATAATTTGTACCTTTGCATTTACAAAATATGAATACATGTATGGTTACAACAGTACTATAGGGAAGAATTGATAATCCTGGACAGATTAAGCACATGGTGATGCATGTCCAGATATTTTCTAATTTGGGAATGGGAAGGAGAATCCTTGAACTCTTGCATCTGCATGTAGAGACCTACTGACGTGCCCTGGGAAGCACAGTTCCTGCTCTCTCCTGTGGTCCCCTCAAGTGTGAATTGCTGAGGAAGGAGAGCAGATCTGTGGCTTCCTCGTTAGTGATCCCACCAAGCACAAAGGGCAGCAGCTGACAGCTTTTGCAGAGGGTGCAGGGAACCTTTTATGAATAAAAGGATGGTATCAGGGAGTAAGGAAACTTTACAAATGTCACGTGTGAAAGTTGCTGGGGAAACAAAGAGGAGCTTTTAGTGGATTTGTCAGCATTCCTGGACTGTCATATACAGGGCAGACAAAGCTGGAATAAATACTAAATTTTTCTGTATAAATGAGTAATGCGCCAGAATGACAAAATCTGATGTTTTCACTCAAAACAGACACAGCATTGTTAGGAAAGATTTCCTTCTACAGATGGGTAGACCCTCCCATTTCCAAGGCTTATTCTTTTCTAACATAAAGAGGAGACCAGCACCAACAGGGTCAGGAGAGGGGCTCACAGTGTTGCTCTTCCCCTGGCAGAATGGAAATCTTTGTCCAGAAAGCAGGTGAAAGATTTTGCTGTCTCAGGGAAGGAGCCTCTTGCGATTTTGCGACAGCTGAATCCTTCTGCAGTGGAATCCGAACTTCTCTTCGTTTGGGATTTGAGCCAGGTTGAATCCGTTGGGTTAAGCTTGTGGTGATTGACTCCATCCCCAACCCCTTGGGTACTTGAATGAATTCAGAGCTCTGGCTTTGGCTTATGTCCAATGTTAACGGAGAAAAATTATTCAGGGCCACTGCATGCAGAACCAGCAAGTGAATTGTCCCTTCCTCCTTGCCAGTGTAAACCATGAAAGCTGTGTAAAACCCATACAGCAGCAAGACTGGGCCCAGTGCCACTGGTCAACTGTTTTCTTAGTTGCTTTCCTAACACACTGGAGTCCTGTGCCAGCATCGTAACACATCGTAGGCTTGTAGCCATGACCTCCCTGTACTGGTAATCCTATAAAATTGGTGCATCAGTCTAATTAAGCTCTTTTTTCAGTGGGGCCAGATGCTTTCTTGGTGAAGCTGGAGCTAAGAATTTATTTCCCTTCAGAACACAAGCTCCAAATTTGCCCCCTTAAACTCTTTGTTTACCTGGCTATAAACATATCCAGAGCTGGAAAGAACACACCCGTTTTGTTTTTTTTTTTTTTTCCCCCTCAGATACAGAGAAGACTGCAAGCAGCTGAATGATGAGAGAGTAAAACCCACCGAGGCAAAGTTAGCATGAAGGGATCGAACAAGGCACTAGGACCTAGGAGGCGTCTCATCCACCCTGGCAGGAATTTCTTGCTTGGAGCTCAGACAACAAAGGCAGAGTGAGCCTGGTTTTCTTTCTCTCAGCATCTCCACCCTGTGCGCTGAAAACCGGTGAGTAGAGCTCTTTCGAGTGACTTGCATGCAGAAAAGTAACAGATGTCAGATGGAAGGGGGAATCTTTCTCTTAGTATCTTGCAGCATCTGCAGAGCATTTTTAAAACAAAACCCCTGCATCCTCTGATTCATTCCCAAAGTTGCTTGGATGTTTCATTGTTCAGCACATGACACAAGCCTGAATCTACCCCAGCTAGCATCGTGGGGAAAACGTTCCGAATTTGGGGTTTCTGTATGGATTGCCTGCATTGTCATCTGCTTTACCGCGGGCTGGGGACAATGATTTTTTACGTACAGGTCACGGTGACATTGTAAAATGCGGGCAAGCAGCTCAGTTCTGGCAAATGTGAGGGGCGGGGAAGAGATAGCAACAGCTTTTCCTACATTTATACCTGGCTGCCGAGTGTGGGCTGTGAATGCAATTTCTGCCCTGCGTTAACATGCAAGTGACATACATGAGTTGCATGTTCCTGGCTGCGCCGAGGGAGTGGAAATCTTTCTGTTGCAGGGCTGGGGGATTCCTCCTCCTTTTGTGTTGGGGTTTGGTGCGGGAGGAAGGTTGTTCTTGGGCATAAACTAAGGGCTATGCGGAAATTCCTGATTAGTGGCTGTCAGCACAAGTCCCCGCTTTTCTCTGCTCTTCCCCTGCGCTAGGAGCCCCCTGTGCTCAGAACAATGAAAGGTGAGCTGGCAGGGGCGGCGTGTCCCTTGGGCAGGGGCACTTCCAGCAATTAAATCACTTACGGCTGGAAGGGGGTTGGAAATAGCCCCTTTATTTTCTCCTCCTCATTAAACGGGAGCAGAAATGCAATTCAGAACCAGCTCAGGCTGCTGAAAAGGGCTCATAGAAGCCTCGTTTCAATGACAGATTTTTTTCTTTCCAGTCATTTCTTCTTAGAGATGTAGGCTGGTCCTGGGAATTGATTGATGGGCTAGGAGGGGGCTGCGGATAGGGGGAAGGGTGGGCTGGATCTCATTGCTAACCCTTATTGAACAGGCTGTCACAAAGAAACTGCTTATTCCCCTGTGACCATTCTTTCATAAATGCCAGTTTATTCTAATGTTAAATATTCAGATGCTCTGGTTCCTTCCGTGATTCGACAGATTGAAGGGCTGACTCACTGGGATCTCCTTGTTTTCTGTTGCCAAAGGAAACCTCACAGGGCTCAGAGGTTTAATTCATTGCCAACTGGTGTTTGGATGAGTTTTTTGGGGCCAAGCTGCAACTGTCATGTGTCCCTTTTGGCCCCGAGTCCCCTTTTACTGCACTTTGAAAACTCCCAGGTGCAGGAGCAGACTGCTCTCTAGAAATGTGTTCCCTGCCCCCAGTAGTTGGATCCCTTTCAAAAGGCGAGGACCACTCCTACCCTCAGCCCCCAGAATCGATACAAATCTGGGTCAGGGGAGGGGACACATCCCAAATACATCTGTCCTGCTCCAGTCACAGCGCTTGCATTAGTGTCGTTTTTCTCTGGCTCGTGGCTCTGCTTGGCTCTAACCTGTCCCCTTCACACTCCTTCTCTCCCCATCTTCCCGCTCAGCTTCAGATCTTTAGGGTTCACCAAACTATGGAACTTGATTTTGGACACTTTGACGAAAGAGACAAGGCGTCCAGAAACATGCGAGGCTCACGGATGAACGGGTTGCCCAGCCCCACTCACAGCGCTCACTGTAGCTTCTACAGAACCAGGACCTTACAGGCGCTGAGCAACGAGAAGAAAGCCAAGAAGGTGCGTTTCTATCGCAACGGGGACCGCTACTTCAAGGGGATTGTATACGCCGTGTCCTCCGACCGCTTCCGAAGTTTTGATGCTCTCCTGGCTGACCTGACCCGCTCCCTGTCTGACAACATCAACCTGCCCCAGGGAGTCCGCTACATTTACACCATCGATGGGGCGCGGAAGATCGGGAGCATGGATGAGCTGGAGGAAGGTAATTAGCATTGCCGCCTGGTGCAGTGAGGAGGCGGGGTGAGGAGGGGGCTGCACCACTCGGTCTGCTGCGAAGGTCACGTTTCCCAGGGGCTCGGGGATGCTTCTGCCCCTCTGGGCTGAACCTGCCCAAGCTCCTTTTACCCCTGGAGAGGTGGCAGCCCCCGGGGAGCACCCAGCATGCTGGCTCTGGTGCAGATGTGGAGCTGGAGGGGTGTGTCTGCCTCTTGGCGAGACGTGGCGGTATCCAGTGCTCAGGGGGCTGTCTGAGGGTGTCCCTGTGTCTGTCCAGGCTGTCAGGGGGGGTCCCACTGGGGTGGATAGGTGTGAATGGAGAAAGGGGAGGTGCTGGGGGTGTCATGCAGCGTGTGTGTAATGCTGGGTGGGCTCCTGCAGTGTGTGTGATGGGGGTGGCAGGGATTTATGCAGTCTGGGGGGTGCAGCGGGGGGTTTGTGCACAAGGTGTGTGTTTGGGGGGTGTGGGCTGGGCTGTGCAGGGGTGTTGGGAGTGGAGTCGGGTATTGGGGTTCCTGCAGGGTGCCCGTGGTGGGGGCGTGGAAGGGGTGTGCGAGCGGTTCACGCCGCATTTGGGAGCGTGGAGGGGTGTGTCAGGCGCTCGCGCAGTGTGTTGGGGTTAATGAACAAAGCGCGTGCACGGAGAGGGATTTTAGGGGGTGGCACTCGGCAAAATTTGGGGATTTATAGATTTGTGTGGAAGAATGTGCAAGGATGGTTAACTGCAGAGGAGGTGCTGGGATTCCTTGGGGGGGGTCATACTCGGGGTGCGCCGCAGTGGTGGTGTGTGAAGGGGAGAGAGCCGGGGGCTCCTGCGTGGGGCTGTGCACGGGGGGAGGTTGGGTGGGGGGGTGTAGGCGGGGGGATCTGGGGAGTGCTCCTGCAGGGGCTGCTGTGGGGTGGGCTGCTGTGGTAGGTTTGTGGGGAAGTGTGGAAAGGCATCTAATGGTGGAAGGTGTGAGCGTGCAGGGGATGCTCGGGGCAGGTTTGCGCGTTCCCTGCTTCCAGAGGGGCTGGCAGTGTTGCCTGTTCCTCTGGGCATCGCTTAGGCTGTGGGATGAAGGATGAGCCAAAAATCCGTCCTGTCTGGGATGGGTTTGCTCCCATGGAGCTCAGTGCCAGCTGTGCCCGTGTGCGGGGAGCTCCCTCTGCAGCGGGTGGGTGCTGCCAGGAGGATGCCCAGGATGAAATTGCTGCGTGGCCGTGCCCTGCCGGGGGCACAGCCTGAGCAGGGTGCATGGAGAACACCCACAGCGACTGCTTTTCTCTGCCTGGAACGGTTCAAATACTCCACCCTTTGTCTGGATGTACCCTGTTGCAAGACAAGAGGTGCTTTTCCCTGTTCTGTTTCCTCCCAAGCAGATCACCCGCTGATTCGGCTACCTCAGAAAAAGCACAGGGCTTTTGCTGTCAGTAAGACAATGGCTGTGAGCCTGTGTGAGCCACCGAGCTGCAGGGGCAGCCTCACAGCGAGTCATTGTGCGACCTTGACTTGAGCCCCTTTCCCTAGCTGTCTCTATCTGCAAGTGGGATACTTGTTTCCCCAAGATACTTGGTGGGGAAAGGCACACCATGGAGTGATACCAGTCTGCATAGACGATTTTTACTGGGAACAAGTTGGTGCCTTTCAGAGAGATGACGCAGTCCTAGTGGAGTTATTCTCAGCTGAGTTACCATACAGCTGTCAAACGGAGGAGTGGCCTCCCTTAATTCTAGAGATTCTGCTCTTTGTTTCTGTGCTCTCTGTAATATGGCTACAGCCTTTCTCTAATGACAGCTCTCAGTCCTGCTTGTCCTAGCTTTTGTGTATGTCTTCAGGAGTAACTCTATAGGGGAAAATTCAGTTCTCTTACGCTCTTCCTGCTTTTTGTCAGAAGTTATCAGGCCTTTCATTATTATGCCTGGTTTTCACTTTTTTTCTTTCTGCAGATAAGTACTTGATTCCTGAAAAATAAATAAATAAATAAATAAATAAATAAATAAATATATTTCCTGGTTGGGGTACAGGCAGGATGTGCTGACATCTGGGTTCTGGCTTTGTTCTGCCAAAACAGTAGCTGGAAGCAGCACTGAAGACGTGTCACTGCAACCAGGATGGGATTGTGTTGCGGTATCCCCAGCAGAGCATCAGCAAGGAAAATACAATGAGCAGCATGAAAACAAAAGGATCCAGTGTCTCAAAATGCAAAGGCAGACCTGTACGCTGTTACTGAGTGTTTAATGATAACATTCCCGTCCTGCTGGAATGCTCCACGTGTCTATTGTAGAAAAGCAATCTTGAAGAGACGTTGCTTTTGGTTATTAATACTGTGGTTGCAGCCAGCCTTGTGGTGAGCTATGCTGTTAGCTTGGGTGTTCACATAACTGTGTGCTAGGTGCACATGGGAACAGAACTTCAGAGCATTTACACTGTGGCATGCAAGCACAGGGTGGGTACTAACAGTACATTTCCCATATAAATGAGCTTTCTGGTTGGGGACTGAGAGCGTCTAAAGCAGTTTAAGTTGTTGTAATGTGAAAACACTCGGTGTGCTGCTAATTAAATGGTCCTTGGAAGTAACCCTTCTGGTCTCCAGAGCCAGGCTTTGTAGGCTTTCCTCACCTGGCATTAGGGGCCTTTCTCCTGAAGTTCTGGATAAACGTTTTACTTCCTAATCCGTCCGAAATGGAATGAGTGAAGTCTCTTCTGTTCTTCTGATCACATCTCTCCTGCCCATCAGTTGGGATGTGCCTCCTGCTCCTTTCCAGTACAGTCCCCTAAAGCCTTTCACATTTTGGAGGCCCACCAGGAGTCTGCCAACTACGGAGTGCTTTCTGCTGCCTGCTGAGCTCTCACCTGTCACTGCTGCTTGTTCCATGCTGCCTCCTGTGCCAGAGTTGTCTATGTCTATGTCCATGTCTCCCAGTGACCTTCTCTCAAAATCCACCATTGTTTTTTCCCCCCCTTTCACTTATAATGGCAGCCTCCCATCACTGCAGTCATTACCTCTTGACCCCCCAGTTTTCATCATCAGTTTTAACGTATCTGTAAATAGTGCCCAAGTACGTGCTGCCATTTTCCAGGACTGCATTCCTCCTTAATCTACATGTTGCTTTAATGCAATACAGCATCCTCTTACTTCCCTCTTACAGCTGATCCTGACTTGTCGGTCAATTGCTGACAGCATCCTCTCCTTGCATGCTCTCTTTGCTAAGTCAGGAGTGAGTGCTTGGCCCAAGTGCTGCTGCCTAGCATGGTCGTTCTGGTCAATGAGTGAATCTTGGAAAAGAGCACCAGGTGAACTTCATATTATAAGGGGTTCTAGTGACTGAGGCTTTAGGAAAAACACGCAGTTGCCTTTATAGATTACTGCTGAGCCACCGTTGTAACAGTTAATTCTGCACCTGGCGCTGTGACAACTTGAATAGGAAAGATGCTAAAAAGGAAAGCAGCCACCTTTTCCAGCCTTGTTCACATTGATATTAGGGCAGCTTACATTGTCACTCAAGTTTCTACGAAAATCCTCGTGCCTTTGACAGGGTGACTTGTTCCTTGTGCTTATAGACCCATTGCAATGAGATGGAAAATCCTCCCTGCCTCAGCTCCAGCTGCTCTTTTTCTTTGAAAGGAGGGCTGGGTAAAGGTGCAAGCAGATGCTACACACTGACTTCAGCAGCAAGATGTCTTCAGAAACTCCATGCTTGGCCATGTGTTCCGAACTCGGGTTGCAACTTCTTGTCTCTGTTGTCCCACAGATGAGCTCTCTATGGGATGAAAGATTATTTTTAGCCCACTCCATAATTCTGCTGCTTTCTCATGTGGCCCCACTAGCTTTTTCTTGACATAACGCAAAGGACAGTGAGCTGTGACTCGAGACAAAGCCCAAGCCCAGGGCAGACACCTTGCTGTTGAAGGCAGCACAGCCCTGAGTTAACTTCACCCCTGGTGGAGGCCGTGATATGTCAGTGAAGCGGGGAACTGACGCTTCCCCCAGAAGCTGGATTCCCCACCTTGCCCAGGTTAGATCTTTGTCCCTGCTTAGAGGCACTGACCAAACCGGGCATCCTACTGTGCAAGGCACCATACAGATGTGTACAAAGAGAGCTTCCAGCCCAGGGAAGTTACAGTCTGAACATGTCAAGGTGGAAGAAGTTGTCATTACTGCTGAGGAACTGAGATGCAGAAGGGCAGCCTGACTTGTTTGTCCCAGTTCTGTAAGATGGAAGTCAGAGCTCTGAGCTTTCTTGTTCAAGTGCTTTCATTTGTTTCCTGAGTCTTTCAGGGTCTGGTGAGAGGTCTGGAGGTACTTGCATGGTTCAGATATTCTATTAAAAGTGGACTTTGGACCTATTTCCAGAGGGTGATTTCATGTGAAGAAAAGGTCCTTTGCTGCATGTGAGCAGGGTCAGAAATAAGTGTGAAGTACGCATTTACTGAATCCAAATATCGTGTAGGCATGGTGAGTAAAGGCAAAAATGCAGACTGTAGATGAAAATTAATACTTGAGAGACAACAAGCAGTTGAAGCTGTAGAGATTTTCCTGTCTGAGCTCCTGATGTGCCCAGGCCATTAGGCAGGGCAGAGCCCCCCTTGCGTTGTGGTTGGAGTGCCCACAGAGTGGATTCCTGCCCTTGTTCTGTGCTGGGCTGCTCTAGTCTGAGCCTCAGTTTAAACATTACAAAAAGCTGAATGGATTTTTTGTTTTGCTCCGTAGGGTTTAATTGCAAACGTTCTTGGGTTGTGTGAGATATTCCAGGAAGTGCTTCCAAGCTTTTGTATCCTGTCGTGCCCTGGGGAGTCTTTTCCAAAATCTTCTCCAGGAGTGTTTAAAGTAATCACAGGAGAGGCTCCACCCTGGAGCTGTACAGTGCCTGGTGTGCGCTGGGAGTGCGGGGTTTGTAGGAAGCATGATGAAGTCCCCACCCAACGTGTGTGTGCTGCAGTTTGCATGGAACGCTGAAGCTCGTGTAATCCAACATTGAAGCCTTGGTAACTTGTGGGATTGT